GGCAAAATCAAATGACAAAACACATCAAACGAATGGACAACAACTGTCATATTCCTGACTTGGTACAGGCATTTTCAAATGTAGAAAATGGTGGATTGAACCTGGTTTTATAGCACTAAACCTCTCACTTTTACGATAGCCGCATCAAATTTAATAATATTGATAATGATGCGTGAACAAAACAAACAGACACAATAGGTAAAAATGTCACAAATAAAGGTAAAAAGTCTAATTCGGTAGGTCACATTCGTGAAAAGGGAACGGGATTGTAGTTACGACATATGGAACATATCCGATATCATCTATACATTTGTATAACAGATATTCCATAACGGTGAACCAACTTGTGATGGAGGTAAATCCTGAAAAGTGCTTCTGAAGCAAAAAAAATTATAAAGTGTTGTTTCATTTATCTTGTACATTTGCTGTATGGATTAATACATGTACACCAAATATCTTTTCTGTTCAATTATATTTTTAGATTTTGTCTTTTATCGTGTGTGAATTCAGTATAAACATGGAAAAGTTTTTTCCTGCTTGAGCTGTCCACAAAGATCTTGACCGATTTCAATTCTTTTTTAAAATACAAACAATGCTTGAAGATACTTAGCATTTAGGTATTATTGAGCGTAATTTGAAACTTCTGCATTCTACAAGAGAACCTTGATCCATCTGTGTACCCCTACTCAGAAAGAGTGGATGTATACGGTGTATACCCTGTCGCTCTGTTAGTCGTCCCATGAAATTTCCATTGCATTTTTATAAGGTTCCAGTAATTTGGTATCAGACTTCAGTATTCGTGAATGATATACTGCGTAATATATTTCACATTCATGATATACTGTGTGATGTTTTTCACAATCTTTGCTTGTCAACTTCCTGTTAACAGAATAGTCATATATTCTTACACATACTGTTCATGTGTAATGGAATTTTCGTTTGTTTTTTTTTTTTTTTTTTTTTTGGCGGGAAATACAAGTCAGAGCTTCCTGGTATTGTAATCAGGCTTCATGTGAAAACACTACCGTATAGCGGGTTATTTTCGGAGGGTTTTTATTTTTGCTTATTTTGGCGGATAAATGAAAATCTCGGAAATTTATGCGGTATAGGTTAGTTTTAACGACATAAATGCCAAAGGGCATTGAACATACATGTATTTTATAAAATGGCTGTCAGGTGTGTATACCCTTATCAAATAGTGTCAAATAGATTAAGAGTGTTAAGTACTCTATCAGGTAATTACCCTTATTAATTAGTGTCAAATTGCATAAGAGTTGTAAGTCACTCTTGATAATTTTATAACCTAATTAGTAAGTACATCAAAGGTCCGGTCAATTTCGTAACTTGTCAACCGTAAAATTTAAAGAAGTGTGTATACCTGTGACAAATATCTAAGTTACCTGTATTCTATTGATTACAGCCACTTGCATTGAGTGTGTAGGTAAAGGTAATATCTTTGGTTAGCTTGCTTGCTAGCTGAACTGTGAAGTCAGTATTAGGTAAGGTATACTACCCTCCTTTCGAAGTAGCCTAGTCCTACAGACAGATAGATTGGTTATCTGTCGGACTAGTCTACCCCTAAAGGAGGGTAGTTTACCTAACCTAATAATGACTCCACGGTTCAGCTAGCAAGCTTAAGCAAGCTAACCAAAGATATTACCTTTACCTACACACTCAATGCAATCAGCTGTAACTGTATCAGAATATAATCAATAAATAAGACGTCATTCTGGTAAAAAAAATTAACCATAAAATATAGACACTTGCTTCTCAATTTTTACAGCTTTTTATCTGCAACAATTTCAGTATACCCCAAAATATTTAATTGGGATTTAAGAATCCACCAAAATAAAAGCCGCAAAATTTTTTCGTATACTTTGTTGCCTCTAAATCGCAAAATTTTACACCCGCGAAAATAAACCGCTATACAGTATTTTGTGTGAGGTATTTCCCAATTTGTTGATTTTAAACTTCCTGTATAACACATACCTTAATACAGGTTTTCTTACACATAATTATATATAATGACCATGCAAGAAATGTTTGTCTCATTTATCTCAGAAAATACAATTCATAGCCCTCTGAAAATTTCAATCAACATTTACATGAGCATGCTAAAATATGTGATGTCTTTTCATATTTATTGCTTTTTAACTTTACACATGATAGACTATAAAGTGGCTTATACATTTGTATGCACCTGTCCTAAGTCAGGAGCCTGTTGTTCCGCAGTTGTCGTTTGTTGGTGTGGTTCATAAGTGTTTCTCGTTATACCACCACTTTAAAAAAGTGGGAGTATACTGCTTTAGCTCTGTCTGTCCGTCAGTCCGTCCGTCCATCCGTCAGTCCATCCGTCCGTCCGTCCCATGAATATTTTCGTCACATCTTTCTCAGGAACTACATTACAAGGATTTCTGAAATTTGGTTTCAGGGTTTATATAAGTCAGCTATACTGTGTGATGCGTCTTCAGATTCATCACTCAACAACTTCCTGTTTACCGAACACTTGTATCATTTTACACATGATAGCCAAGATGAAAATTTTCGTCATTCTCGGGAACTACAATACATGGATTTCTGAAATTTGGTTTCAGATTTTATATAAGTCAGCTATACCGTGTGATGCGTTTTCAGATTCATCACTCAACAACTTCCTGTTTACCGAAATATTTGGGCGGGGGTATCATCAATGAGCAGTAGCTCGCAATTTCACTTGTTTTTATACGACCGCAAAATTTTTGCGGTCGTATATTGGTATGACGTTGGCGGCGTCATCGTTGTCGTCCGAAGACACATTGGTTTTCGCACTCTAACTTTAGTTTAAGTGAATGGATCTCTATGAAATTTTACCATAAGGTTCAATACCACAAAAGGAAGGTTGGGACTGATTTTGGGAGTTATGGTACTGACAGTTAAGGAATTAGGGGCCAAAAAGGGGCCAAAAATAAGCATTTTTGTAACTTCCAGACATAACTTGTGTGTTAGTGTATGGATCTCTCTGACATTGTACCACAAGGTTCCATATCACAAAGGGAATGCTGAAATTGATTTTGGGGGTAATTGCCCAAAACATTTAGGAATAAGGGGCCAAAAAGGGGCTGAAAATAAGCATTTTTCTAGTTTCCAGACAATAATTTGTGTTCAAGTGTATGGATCTCTCTGAAATTGTACTGTAAGGTACCATACCACAAAGGGAAGGCTGGGATTGTTTTTGGGGGTAATTGCTTCCAAACTTTAGGAATTAGGGGCCAAAAAGGGGCAAAAAACAAGCATTTTTCTAGTTTCATGAAAATAACTTGTGTGTAAGTGTATGGATCTCTCTGACATTGTACCACAAGGTTCCATATCACAAAGGAAATGCTGGGATTGAATTTGGGGGTAATTGTTTCCAAATTTTAGAAATTAGGGGCCAAGAAGGGGCAAAAAACAAGCCTTTTTCTTGTTTCATGACAATAACTTGTGTGTAAGTGTATGGATCTTTAAGAAATTGTACAACAAGGTTCCATATCACAAAGGAAAAGCTGGAAATGAGTTTGGGGGTAATTGCCTAAAACGTTTAGGAATCAGGGGCCAAAAAGGGGCCAAAAATAAGCATGTTTCTAGTTTCCAGACAATAACTTGTGTTCAAGTGTATGGATCTCTCTGAAATTGTACTGTAAGGTACCATACCACAAAGGGAAGGCTGGGATTGATTTTGGGGGTAATTGCCTCCAAATTTTAGGAATTTGAGGCCAAAAAGGGGGAAAAAAACAAGCATTTTTCTAGTTTCAGGACAATAACTTGTGTGTAATTGTATGGATCTTTCTGAAATTGTACTACAAGGTTCCATATCACAAAGGAAAAGCTGGAATTGAGTTTGGGGGTAATTGCCCTAAACGTTTAGGAATAAGGGGCCGAAAATAAGCATTTTTCTAGTTTCCAGACAATAACTTGTGTTTAAGTGTGTGGATCTCTCTGAAATTGTACTACAAGGTACCATACCACAAAGGGAAGGCTGGGATTGATTTTGGGGGTAATTGCTTTAAAATTTTAGGAATTAGAGGCCAAAAAGGGGCAAAAAACAAGCATTTTTCTAGTTTCAGGACAATAACTTGTGTGTAAGTGTATGGATCTTTATGAAATTGTACTACAAGGTTCCATATCACAAAGGGAAAGATGGGTTTGAGTTTGGGGGTAATTGCCCTAAACATTTGGGAATTTGGGGCCAAAAAGGGGCCAAAAAACAAGCATTTTTCTAGTTTCCGTACAATAACTTGTGTTCAAGTGTATTGATCTCTCTGAAATTGTACTGCAAGGTACCATGCCACAAAGGAAAGGCTGGAATAGAGTTTGGGGGTGATAAATCATAAGTGGGTTCAAAAAATTGTGGGGGGGGATTTTTTTTTTCCTTTTTTTCCTTTTTTTTTCTTTAAAATTTTCCATTTTAAATTGGTAATTTCTGATTTATATATGAAAGCAAATAATAATGATATGGTTTGAATAGGTAAATTAAAATTTTTTAAGTTCTTAGACTGTGTCAAATATTTAATCACAATCCAAATTCAGTGCTGTATCAAGCTTGAATGTTGTGTCTATACTTGCCCCAACTGTTCAGGGTTCGACCTCTGTGGTCGTATCAACCTGCACCCATTTTATTCCTTTTTTATATAAATTAGACCGTTGGTTTTCCTGTTTGAATTGTTTACACTATATATAGTCATTTTGGGGCAATTTATAGCTTGCTGTTCGGTGTAAGCCAACGCTCCGTGTTGAAGGCCGTACTTTGACCTATAATTGTTTACTTTGTACACATTGTGAATTGGATGGAGAGTTGTCTCATTGGTACTCATACCACACCTTCTTATTTATAGCAGGATATCATTAATGAGCAGTAGCTCACAGCTGAAAGTGTTAATCTTATTTTAGAACAATTGAAATTGATGCAGCGGCCAATATAGGATGCATTTAAGATGGATTGAAACATAAACATTGATATACATGCTGCAATCATTATTTTGTAGAAATGTTTCAGTTGTGGATGAATTCCATACATTGCTACTGTAGACTTGACGATCAGCAAAATAAACCTGAAAGTTTTACTGCTAAAATAGATGAAAGTACTGAGACATAGGAAACAAATATTCTCGATCCACCAGTGATTCTTGTTGGTTCACATAAAGACAAAGTCAGGCTTTCAAAGGGAGAAAAGGTGTGTAAAGACACTGTACAAATATATACAATATAAAAAAAGTAAAATAACAAAAATACAGAACTCAAATTCAAATTTGAAAGTCCCTTATCAAATGTCAAAATCAAAACCTAAAACACATTAAACTAATGGAAAACAACTGTCATAATTCTGACTTGGTACATGCATTTCTTTTTGTAGAAAATTTACCCATATCAAGCGAAGGCAGAAGGAAATCATTATTACTGTAAAAACAGAGTTAAGTATACAGGAATGAACAAGACTTAGATTACCATGGTGGCTGAACTTTGAACTCAATATGACCCCATCAGTAGGAGGGGTAAACTCATTGAAATTGAAATTCAATTAATATCTAATAAAACATACATAATGGAATTGGCTGTCTATATTTTACTGGATCTAGATAATGTTAGGGTTGCATGATATTTGTAATGAAACCTTGATCTTAAATGCTTTCAACCTATCTTTAATCGTTAGTAAGGAAAGCATGAAATCTCAGGATCTGCACACTTGTTACTAACGGTAGACATATAAACAAATTAATTAAAAACTGCACCCATCGAACACAAGTCTTGAATATATATCCATAAAAAAAGACAAATAATTGATCTTTCAGAATAATGATGCTTTAAGCATGAAAAATGGTCACAATATGCATATTGGGGTCAAAGGTCAACAATTACATATTTACAAATATTGTCTTAATTATAACTTTTGGGTTTATTTCAGGAATTAGAAATATATAAAAAAAAATCATTTTTCGATTCATACTTGATAAAGCCTAAAGAAGATATCAAATTAAAAAAGAAAAATAAAATATTTTGTACTTAAAATTCACTCTTTTCTTACTTAGGAATTTTGTTTATTTATGGCTCCATTTTGTTTCCATACAAGAATAACTTTTGATTATACAGATAAATATATAAATTAAGGATGTTGCCTAGTCTTCTTTTTGACATTTTGTCAGATATTCGTAATCCTCTGGTTTTATCAGTGTATAATGCAATTAAACGTTTTGCCCTCTAATCCTTATTTTCTTTTCATAATTTGACTGCATACAGTTTAATTAACAATTTTCCTTGGAGGTCAGTATTTTTGTGATTTTACTTTTTGTCATACATTTTGTAATTCAAAACTTTAACTCCTACGATTCATAAGAAAGGGAAATAGCTTTTAGATAGTCTATCATTGCTTACATCCACTTCTTTTGAATTTTGTTGGATAGTTGATTCATTTGCAATCATACCACATCTTCTTATTTTTATATGTTGTGTGCTTACTAACATAATTGTATTAATAAAGAAAACAAAAAGGGACAAAAAACTCACCATTGATACCAGGATTAAAATTGGTACACCAGAAGCACTTTTTGTCTTCAATAGACTCACCAGTGACACGCGAATCAACAAAGTTAAAAAGGTCAAACAAAGAACAAAGTTTTACCTGTATAGTTGGATTTTTTTTTTGGTTTCTTCAGTCAACAAAGTGGATCTTCTCGGTGGCTCCCTTGTTTCATTTTCCAATTTTATCCACCATTTGTCTTTGTTAATTATTAACCTTTACTATTTAGTCCATTTTTGGTAATATTCTTCTCGCGTGGCTCGGTACTTATATATCCCGCCATAGTGTTATTGTGCTATGGTCATTTTTTTGTATTCATGTATTTCATGTTTGCTAATGTGCGTTGTCTATATGCCATTTTGTTTTCCTTTGTTGACATATTTGTTTGTTTTTTATAGTGATTAAGATTATAACACAATGCTGACTGCTGTATCCCTATTTTTGAAATGTTTTCTATTATGTTTGTTTGTTTTGTTCACACGTTGTTGTCAATATACCGGTAATGGAATTTTATGCGACTGTCATACAAGTGAGAGGTTTCACTAGCTATAAAACCATGTTTAATCCACCATTTTCTACAAAAGGAAACTCCTGTACCAAGTCAGGAATATGACAGTTGTTTTCCATTCGTTTGTTGTGTGGGCTTTTGATTTTGCCATTTGATAAGGGATTTCCGTTTTAAATTTTTTATTAAAGTTCGATATTTTTGATATTTTCCTTTTTTCCAAAGTTAACATTCTTTTCATTTAATGTACCACATGTGTAACCCATCTCCAGCTTAGTCTTTCATGAATAAAAGGTCACATGAATACAGATTCAAATAAGGTTGAACTGCAGACTTGCAATGTTGTGGATTTTTTGTTGTTGCTTATTTTACCAAAATTGAACCAAACTGAAACTGCAATTTTTTTCTATTTCTATATTCCGTTTTTGCATGTTTAAAACAAACAAAAAAATCGTATTTGATTTGTTTGTCTTAATCGTAGTTTAAACGTACCCCTTAAAGACATAAAGGTTGAGGTGGACTAGAACTACAAATTATTCAGCATTTCCAAAATCGTCAGTCAATTGTATATGAGTTATTGTCCTTGAAATCCATTTTGATAAAAATAAAGAGATGTGGTATGATTGCCAATGAGACAACTATCCACCAAACTTCAAATAAAGTGGATGTAAGCAATTATAGGCGACCGTACGTCCTTCAACAATGAGAAAAACCCATTACGTATGGTTGACTATAAAAGGCCCCGACATAAAAAATATGAAACAATTCCATTGAGAAAACTAATTTATAACAAAACAATTTACGAAAAACAAATACGACAGACATAAAGCAATGTCATTCACTGACCTACAGGCTCCTGACTTGGGACAGGCACTTAAGGAATGTGGCGAGATTAAACATGGTTGTGAGTGCTCAACCCTCTCCCTAACCCATTTTACCCATTTTTGTGTATTTTTGGGAAAACATAATTGATAGAGAGAAATTGTATATAGAGAAATCCATGAGAGACCCTCATCATTAAACTTATGTTGAGAGGACATAATCGATCTATATAGTGGATAGTGAAGTTCAAGGATAATTCTGGCTTCTTTTCATTCTTCCTGAGAAGCGCAGGTATGAATTAAGGAACAAGTTGGCAAGAAAAGGAGCTCAGTTGGTTCCCATGGGAATGCCAATTATATGTTTAAAAACATGTTCATCAAACGCAACAAATATGTCGTCAATCTAGAAATCAACCATCTTGCTGTCAGTTTCAGAGAATTTTTTGTTTGAATCATTGATTTTTTACAAAGCGCAATGTTTCCCTTCCTAAGACAAGACACATTGTATCTATGTTTGTCATTCTTTTTAATGAAACAAAGCAGGACCAATTCATTCAATTTGTCTTTTAGTTTTGAACGTGAAATACTTGTTTACTGGGTAGAAAAGTCAAATGATTTAATACATGTACTATTCCAAGATGAAATAGTCTTAGATTGTATGTACTTTAACAGATCTTTGGAATACTTTAGTATTCACATCTGATTCACGCCGTCTTTAGAATAGGTAGTTTCACAATAATTTTGAAGCCAGGCTTTGATTGCATATAAAATTGATGTTAATAATTCAGAAAGCGGTTTCATGGAGGACTTGGAAAACACAACAATATAACTTTTTGTGTAACATGTATAAGGACACATATAGATTTTAAAAGGAACATAGAACATACCTATGATAATCCATGATTTCCTCTTTGGTAAGTGTCATGGGCAATAAATTGAGTTTCCAAGTGAATTGTCAATACCTATTTCAATTATCAAGCAACTTATGTAATGTTATTTACACAAAAATGTTATTGCTTTGGGCATTATTCGCAGGGAGAACAAGCTATTTTTCATGGAGGTAGGACATAAGTCATACAATTTTGTGTTTGAGTGTTTGTTTTTTGCAACATGATCATTTTCGCCATCTGTGAACGTCTCATTTATAGTTGGTATTATAATCAAGTCTTTTTGAGGGCAATGAAGGACATTTTGTAGAAGACCTCAACAGTTATGCTATTTATTTAATATTCAATTAGGTATTAATTTTGAAATAAACAGGTTAATATCTAAGAATACTGACTGTTTCCTTCCCATGAAAATTCAAATACAGTTACCTCATTATACATGTTATAACACTGTTTAAAGTCAAAGGAAACTTCAATTAAAAAAAAATTATGCATATGTTTTTTTAAAACTAAATTGCTAGTTTTTATTATAAAACTTATGTACATATACTTTTTTCTGAAGAAAATTCCAAATTTAGAAGAAATTAACTTTTTTTAATTATTGGCTTCCCAGACAATAATTCGCCGACATGTTTTCCATATGCAGTTACCTCAACGTAACCTTTCTCGTAAAAATCCGGTGATCGCAATACGCAAGTGCGAAGGGGAAAACCAAATTGGCAGAGAGAGTCAACAAACGTAAACATCGCTCCGTCATCAAAATAAACTATATCTTATTGTACACGTGCTTACCTCAATATCCATGCTTCTTTGTTAATTGTTTACAAAGGTGACAATCGGTAAACTTCGGCTTCAAAACACGACCATTAATTAGATTCATTTTCACAACAACACTGACCGAGTGAAATATTTTTTTGACGATTATACGATATGGATGCGTAAAAAATGATAAAATCGTGCACAGAACACTAAGTTTATGATATATGCATGCATTGGTTCAAGAATTGGATTAACATTATTTTTCACCGGCCACTCGTTTCATATGACTTTAACAATGATAAATTATTATTGACATGTTTTTTTCAGTTTCCTGTGTCAGACCTATTAATGAAAATTGAATGCAAGAAGCAGATTCAAAGCTATGTGAAAGATGTTTCAGATGATGCCTGTGGACATATACGATCTGAATACTTCATTTCAAATACAAAAGATGATGATGGTGTATTCCAGAAAATAAAACAGGACATCTTAAACTTAGCCAGAGGAATGAAATCGTGGAATAAAGAATATCCATTGAAATTTATTCAACTGGAAAAATGTCTTCAAGAGAGGAAGAAAGGGTTATCAATTCCAAGTATAACCTTAAAAGAACTTGAGCAAATCTCTCTTGAAACACTTATGCCAATGAATGCTGAAGAACTAATGTTGTTTTTGAAATTTCACCACGAAATCAGAGCTTTAGTTTATTTTGAGGATCTTCCCGAATTCATCATCCTAGATACACAATGGTTGTCTGATGCATTTAAATGTATAGTTACCGCAGAGAAATTTCAATCAGATGTAAGCAGACATAGAATTAAGGAAAAATTGAAAGATTTAAATATTAGAGGAATATTACATAGTGTGGTTTTAGATGATATCTTTAGAGATGAAAAAACAATTTTGTATAAATATGATCAACATAAAGATGATATCCTGAATATTATGGAAAAGTTTGATATTATTATACCTGCAACCAGAGAAGGTGCTGATGAAAAACCTTGCTACTATGTACCTTGCATGGTCAAATCAAAACCAGAATATGACATATATGAGATGTTTAATGTAACCAACAAAACCTGTCAGAAATCCTCCTGGTTATGTTTCAAGTTCAGGTTTCTACCACCACATCTAATTAATCATTTGATTGCCTCACTCAGCAGGAAGTTTAAAGTTGCAGAGGTGGATGCAACTGAACAGGACAAAAGTCAAATTGCTTTTTTCAGAGGTACTATTGTCTTTGAATTACAGAAAGCAACAAAGTTAAGAAAACTAATTTTAATGACATGTCCGAATTTTATTCAGATTCAGGTTTTGGAATTTAAAAAAGAAATTAAAAGAGGTATGTACAAATACATTGCTGCCTTTTTGACAGAGGAAATAATCAAGATAATAGATACAAGATTCAAGATGTCAAATGTAAAATTTGAGAAAAAGTGGAAATGTGGCCTTAACAAACCATAGTCTGTTACAGGATTACATGATTTTAGTGAAAAACAGATTATAGAATATCATTGTGAGAAATGTAAATCAATCCACAAGTTCATTGGTGAATGGTCAGATCTACAAAATGAATCACTATGTGTAAGTGAAATATTTGAATATTACATAGAAACATTTGATTGTTATTCTCTCCAGAGAAATTCAAAAAAGACACCATATATGTTTATAAAGCATTAGACAATAGTGACATCATAAGTTTATAACAGATCTTAAAATACCTTTTAAATCCAAACCTTGCATACAAATGCCATACGGTTAAAACTTCTGTCTTGAATTTATCCACAACCCTTGATCTCCTTTTCATAGTTAAACATCTCCAATGACAATAATATTGATATTTAGTTTTTCTGATTAGGTAATAATGTTTCATTTACCATTTGTGATAACTAACTATACCTTGCCTCTATGATGACAAAATTTCATTTCAGCCTGACATGTTGTCTTACTTTACTCGATAAACATACCATATGAGTCTATTGAATCTTTGTCGTAAAGACAATATGTAAGGCTCTGAATCCTTTATTGTATCTAATTAACTATTTGTTTCGGATTCTGTTAATTAAAAGGTAAATATCATTGACGTATATTCGGAATGTAGTAAAATAAGTATTCTCGCATTTAAGTGACAAAAAGAAATTAAGCCTTATCTTAGTAATAATGGTCATGTTTCAGTGACTTCCCATACAGACTAAATGATAGGATGGCCAACTGCATTGCTCAACTGGCCGCCAGTTGAGCAAACAGTTGAGGGCCAGTTGAGGGCTAGCTGGCCGTCAGTTGAGCAAATAGTTGAGGGCCAGTTGAGGGCTACCTGGATTTTTGCCATGCAAATTAGGTAGCCCTCAACTATCAATTGCTCAACTTTATGCAAATTAGTTGAGCAAGGTTTAGAAAAATATCATAGTTGAGGGCTAGGTGTCCAACAGTTGAGCAATTAGAGTTGAGGGCTACCTGGACAACAGTTGAGGGCCAAGTCATTAAAAGTTGAGGGCTAGGTGGCCAAAAGTTGAGGGCCAGGTCGTTAAAAGTTTAGCAATAGCTGGTCATAGCAAACTGATGACTACAAATAGTAGAAAAAATAAATTTTAAATTGTGTATTTTATATAGCCAAAACACTGCTGAAAGATCTAAAGTCACAACAGACTACATGACAGCTTTATCCTTGCTTTTTTAAAGTTATCTAGTAAATAAAATCTTGTTAATCCTGCAGCCATATTACTTTTTATGCAAGAAGAAGTAAGATATATATTGAAACAATGTTTAATGTTGAAAAATCCTTAATTGTCCTTTTCTTTCTTTTGTAATATCTTCCTTCCACTGTAAATTTTTTCATTAATTGCACGTGTAACATCTGTGGACAACATCTTGAAATTGATAAGACCAAAGTCTGAAAGTAAAATGAAATTAAACCTATATATATATATTTATGATAACTATAAATGTGACAAAACACTGTTTGTAAAATTAATAAGATGACATAATCATATATCATATTTTTTAAATGTTATTTAACAAACATTTACATCAAACGTCTGTTATGTATTGCCTACGTGTAACTCAGAGTGAATTATACAAATCAATTAAACTTAACAAATGTGGATAAATACAAGATAAGGATGTGTCTGATACTTTGCTTCACTATTTGAGAAAAAAAATGTTATGAAATTGTTCTTCCCCACTATTTTAATCTGTTGACTGTCAGAGTGCCTCGATAAAGCAAAGTATTGTTAAAATAACTCTAAATGCTGTCTTCATGATTGATCACTCTATAGGTAAAACCAGAGGCTAGTAAAATTGCTCTAGCTATGTCTAAGCAAATTGTTTTAAATTATAGTTAAAGGCCTTCATAAAATTTCTATTACCCTATTAACTGTATTAAGTGTACCTGCTCATTTAACTCTAAAACAATGTTCTTTCCTTAACAATTTCTTCCCCACCCCCTTGATAAACCAATATGGCAAAAGTCAGTACGAAGGGGGGTATTCAAAGTGCACATGGCAAAAATACTCAAAACAGAAAGTGTTGTTCAACCAGAAAAAAGATATATATATTTATCTGTCATTTGTGGATAGATGTCTTATTGGCAGTCATACCCCAGATCTCTAGTTTTATACCAAATTCATTCTATTAGAAGATTCTTATTTTATTAGTAATACTTTCTAAAATAAATTGTCTTAATAATAAAAAAAAATATGTCTCCTGTCTTACACATTTTGATAATATATAAATTAATGCATAAATATATTGTCTAAATTTTTTCTTCACTCTAAAAAGTTAAGACGACACTTTAAATATCACTATTTTGAACTAAAAGAGCATATGCACTTATTCAAAACGGCGGAAATTCTAATCTAATGTACTTACCAAAAGATGTTATCCATAAATATGTGTAAACATCAAGCTTCCTAAATCTAAGAGTCATGTCATCAGAAAAATACATCTACACTATTCAATGTCAATACAGTTATTTGTAACTTTTTGATCTACATCCATTGTAAAATTAATATTTTGTTCATGATAGCTAGAAGACATCTTTGCTTGCCATGTGTATACTCATGCCCAGTTCAAATTTTAAATTTGTTTGAGGTTGTTTAGGGTATTGTGACAGTGTGATCGCTTTGAAATGTGTCCCTAATAATAACTGTTAATTACCTAAATCTTGAATATTTGATATATTATAATAAAAAAATATTGTTTGTTTTTTATCTTTACGTTATGAATTATAGTAATTAAAGAAAATTGTATAAAAACATGTGCTTCCCTTAATTTGGCCTCAAACTCTGTGTACATTTATAATAAATTATACTTCCTGTCTACTTGCACTACACAGAGATAAATGGAAAACAGATGGCACATAGCATTTATATCACCGGCTCATATTTCTAATTGCTCAACTACATGAAAACTAAAGATCAATTGCTCAACTTTCCCTCAACTACAAAAAAATCAAAGTCTGAATGCTCAACTTTTGCTCAACTACATGAAAACCAAAGATCAATTGCTCAACTTTTCATCAACTTAATGGCCAGCTTCAGTTGAGGGCCAGTTGAGCGACATCTATCTAACATACAGTTCTTGGCCAGGTTTGAATTGAGCTACATTGCTCAACACCTAGCCCTCAACTATTTTGCTTAAAACAGCTAGCTCTCAACTGTCCGCCACATGGCCCTCAACTGGCCCTTAACTTTTTTTTCTGTAGGGGTTATGAAGTTTTTAAGTGGCTTAAGGGTATTATAACTTTATGTCCTAAAGCCTTTTTTCTCATATTTTAAACTTTGAAGTAAGGAATCACATTTGTTGAAAGAAATAAAACAAGCGGGTCACCATTCATCTAAAATCTGCTTTCATAAAAGCATGTGAAGGTTCTTATATTCAAATTCAAATTCAAAAAAAGTTACATAAGATTTTGCCCATATTTCAAAATCAACCAGCTAAAATACAGATTAGTAGAATAATATAATAACAAATATAGGTCACCAATGTGTTCAAGTTTAGTTTAAACGCAAAATACCTGAAATTACAGCTGGAAAGGGGAGCTGCTTCTGTTTTATATGAAATGAAATAAAGAATAAAATTCGTCATCATTTAAATATGGATATCAATACCTGCCATACATCATACTAATTAGACCAGCTAGTGATGAATTACAAATTTCAACAAATTTCATTTTTGAAATCTTGACAATCGTCATCACGACTGAATAAAAATTGTAAATAGATGGAAATAAATGAAACACCTCATCGTTTAACACTGTTAATCAATCAAAACAATAGTACTCAGTATAGAAGTTGTAGTTTTAACATGTACAATACCTAATCTTTTTATGCCCCAGCCGAAGCCGGAACTACTTATAATAATTCAATGGTATTTGGTATGCAGTTGTATTAGCACTGGCACGTCTCATTTCCATGGAGATTGTTTAGCCATGTACCTTCAGTCATGGTTCATTGACTTTGAATATTTGCAAAACTTACATGTTAAAGTGTTGCTTTTTTAATTTCAACATTTGCATTATCGAAATAACAAAAAGGCGAGACATATATATATATCTGTGTTAACAGTTTATTTGTTGTTTAAAGGTGCATTTTCAATGACCCTTTTCTAAAATTATCAAGTCAAACTTAAATAAAAAATATACTACACTTTCCTTTGAAGATTTCTTTTTCCATTATCATGCCAAAATTATTTAATTGAAAAAAAGAAGATATCAGAAAATCAGTGCCCCTTCTAAATACATGAAATATTTAAATACCAAAAGAATATGTATCTAAATTGAGAAATTCTCCATCTTTGGGCAATAGAATACAATTTTTTGAGTAAGATTATGGAAATGAAATAAAATCATTCATCTTCAGTGACATAATTTTTTATCAAAAATTAATAAATTATTCTAAGATGAGTATTCTAAAAATTCCACACCTATTTAAAAAAAAAGAAATATTCCCAAAAGCAACCATTAACAAGTAATATGAATTTAGGGCGACAAGCAAATGCTTTTTTTTTCAACTGAAAAAAAAAAACAAAAATCTTTCTGAATTTAATGCAAGAGTAATATATATATATTAACGGCTAAAACTGTGCCATTTTTACTATGAAGTTTCATAAAAATTATAACATAGAATGGAAAGTTCAAATGCACTACTTTTGTTTCCAAAGATAAAAACATAGGCCCTCTACCTACTCAAAGTCTTAGCTTGTACTAAAATTCTGAACAAACCCTTCCTTTTCTTTGAGGCTTCCTGAGAATTCATTTTGATGGCTATCCAACTGTCTTTATACTGGTGAAATTCCCAAGTTGTATCTCCATGACATGAAACATGGAGATCATATATGGGAACTTGTAGGTAAACAAAATATAATATCTATGAATATCAATTGTCTCCCCAAATTAAAGGGGGTATGGTTTGTAAATCAGCTGTAAAAAGTGCAACCCACAAGTATCTAATTAAATCACGAATCAGAACCTGTTTACTTAAGAAACTATTATAATTCAGATGCAACTCGCGATCAAATAATAAATGAAACTCAACGGTACAAAAATCAATGGAAATGCCCACCGTCTGAATGCTTGAAGGTTCTGCAGTCTTTAATAATGTTATCAAGATTTTTGTTTATGATTTTATTCAAACCATAACTGTTTTTGATAATCTCCTGCACAGTCAAAAGTGGTTAGATTTAACCATGCATGTTAACTAAACCATTTTAAAATAAAAAGGAATCAAAAGACATAGAATAAAGACAATTTCCAGGAGTCTATCATTATTAATTTTCTTATTAACAACTATTATGTTCCTAAAGCATTCTAATAGTTTTATATTGAACCTTTCATTGAGAAAAAATTATACTTTAACAAGTTATTTTAAAGTAAAACTTTAAAAAATCACATACATATTGCATTACGAATAAAACAATTATTTATCCATCTTGTCACGATGACTGTAAGGGTTAATATCAGTTAATTATTTATTGTTTTTGTTATTTTATTTTAAGCTATGTATCTTCTGTGTGTCTTTAAAATGTAAAAAGAAAAAAAAGTTACTTGAGCCTGTGATTTTTATCTGATCAAAAATATCACTTTTAAAGGTGATTAATTATCAGAAAGAGACACCCATCGTGTATTGCATCGTCGTCTATTAATGTACTGTGGAAAACAAACAATATAATTTGAATAATCTTATTTCATTTATTTTGAATGATTTATAGAACTCAATAAAATTAGTATAGTGATTTACTTTTGTATTAAGCATCACTGTTCGGCATGTTTCTTACTTATTCTTTTAACTTTCTTTCAGATCTCCAAGGAAGAGTTTAATTTCACAAAAATGGGAATGATTGTGCTAAATATTCTTGCTGATGTTTTATATGATTAACTCAAACAAGATAAACCCAACCTGCCTCTTAGGAGTGATTGTGATATAACATACTTGTACAGTGAACACAGGAAACTTAATAAACATATTCCAAGTAATTCAAGCAACCGACGATGTCCCCCTGGACCATGGGGAGGGACTTGGCTAGATATTCAGAATACGGACATAGCTATTGGAGATGATATTGAGCGCATAAGACTTACAAGAAATGAACTACAACACTCTAGGACATTTAATCTTCATGATACTCGTTATATTGAATTATGCAATATCATTGGTCATCTTTTAAAACGGTTTGATCAAAATATCAAACCAGTGAGTCTGTATACAAATCGACTGAATGAAACATTAGCTAAGACTTGCTCTGAGGAGGAAGTGATATCAATTGAAAATGAAATATAAGATCTTGTAAATATGCCATGTATATAGTAAATTTCGAAGCTATGTTAACAGTCTGTCCAAAGTGAGGGAGTGTTTTGACATATTTTAATGAACTTTGACAGATTTGCACTTTATAAATATTGACGATTTTTTTCAAATTTGTTAGTCTACTTTTTGTAAAAATCAGATTGGTTTCCAAATTTTCAGTATGTAAAGTGACAGTTACTAGTTTTATTGATAGACTATTTTTCTGAGGTTGAACAGTGAAAGTAGATATCAGCTCAAATAAATCCAACTTATCTCATAGCATTTAGTCTCAACCTGCAAGCACATACCTTATAGACTGTCCGCAAAAAAAGTTATGTGTCAACGTCTCAACATTAAATATCTCAAAAACATAAGATAGTTTTATAGGAAGATGAATATGTGGCTATCTAATGTATGTAACGTTGACAAAAAAATGAAGAAAAAATCAGAAATAATTGACTTAATTTTTTAAGTGTTCCACAGTTTTTATTGTTTTATTCAGCATGTTCAGTGTGAAGAATGAAATAACGCATAATTTGACAGTTATAATTTTTAAGGCAATTATTCAATGATGGTTTACTTTGCATTTTAAAAACTACACAGGTGTTATGTGCTTGCATACATGGATTTTTGTTTTACATTTTTCCTCTAGCTGTCTATTGTTAAAGACCGCATGTTGACCTCTATATGTCTATTGCTAAAGACTGTATGTTGACCACTAGCTGTCTATTGTTAAAGACTGTATGTTGACCGCTAGCTCTCTATTATTAAAGACTGTATATTGAACTCTAGCTGTCTATTGTTAAAGACCGTATGTTAACCTCTATGTGCTTCTTCGTTACGACCATATGTTGTCCTCTAGATGTCTATTATTCACGACCGTATGTTGACCTCTAGATGTCTATTGTTAACGACCGTATGTTGCCCTTGAGATGTCTATTGTTAAAAGCCACATGTTGACCTCTAGATATATATTGTTAAAGACTGCATGATGAACTCTAGATGTCTATTAATAAAGACGGTATTTTGACCTCTTGATGTCTATTTTTAAAAACTGCATGTTCACCTCTAGATGTCTATTGTTAAAGACCGCATATTGAACTCTTGATGTATATTATCAAAGACCGTATGTTGACCTTTAGGTGTCTTTTGTTAAAGACCGTATGTTGACCTCTAGATGTCCATTGTTAAAGACCATATGTTGACCATAAGTAGTCTATTGTTAAAGACTGTGTGTTGACCTCTAGATGTCTATTGTTAAAGACTGTATGTTGACCACTAGATGTCTATTTTTAAAGACCGTATTGTTGACTTCTAGATGTCTATTGGTAAAGACCGTATGTTGACCACCAGATGTCTATTCCTAAATATAAAAAAAGAAGATGTGGTATGATTGCCAATGAGACAACTCTCCACAAGAGACCAAAATGACACAGAAATTGACAACTATTGGTCACCGTACGGCCTTCAACAATGAGCAAAGCCCATACCGCATAGTCAGCTATAAAAGGCCCCGAAATGACAATGTAAAACAATTCAAACGAGAAAACTATCTGCCTTATTTATTTACAAAAAAATGAACGAAAAACAAATATGTAACACATAAACAAACGACAACCACTGAATTACAGGCTCCTGACTTGGGACAGGCACATACATACAGAATGTGGCGGGGTTAAACATGTTAGCGGGATCCCAACTCTACCCCTAACCTGGGACAGTGGTATAATAACAGTACAAAAGAGGGTACAACATAAGAACGAACTATAAAATTTAGTTGAAATAGGCTTACTATCAAATAACTTGTTATTAACTTTTGTAATAATGGTTTTAATTATTTTTGGAGTGTTAAAAATTCTTTAGAGGTTTTAGATAAAAAACATGCTTTTGATGGTCCTTGTTATTCTGTTGACAGTTATGATTTTTCTACTCTACACTACACTTACACACAATCTAATCAAGAAAAAGTTTTCATATTTAATAAAATGGTCTTTTGAAAAATCTCATTGCAAATTTATGTGCTGTAACTAGTTTAAAGCCTTTTTCTGTAACGAAAAAGGAAAGTATGCTAGATACACTTACTGGAAATGTGAAGATATGATTGAAAATTTAAATTTTCTCCTAGATAACATATATGTACGCTTCGGCGATAAGTGTATCGACAGGTAGTAGGTATTCCTATGGGTACTAACTGTGCCCCTTTAATAGCAGATTTATTCCTGTATTGCTATGAATCTCATTTTATGACCAAAATCAGTAAAGACACGTCATTGTTACATTTGGTTGATACATTCAACAATACCTACCGTTATCTGGATGATATTTTTTCGTTAAATAATCCAGAGTTCTCTAAATATACTACCGAAATTTACCCAAAAGAACTTACTTTAACTAAATCTAACATAAACAGCAGTAGTTGTCCTTTTCTAGATTTAGACATTTCAATTTCTAAAGGAAAACTCCATACTAAAATTTACGACAAAAGAGACGATTTTTCATTCCCTATTGTTAATTTTCCTTTTTTATACGCCCGTCAAATTTTTGACGGGACGTATTATGGTATACAAATGTCCGGCGTCCGTCCGTCTGTCTGTCCGTCTGTCTGTCCGGCGTAAACATGTCGCACCGTAACTTGAGAATGACTTATCCAAATTTCATGAAACTTAATATAGTTGTTTCTTATGATGGTCAAACGATCTGTATACTTTTTGGTGAAAATAAGATTAAAACTTTTTGAGTTACGGGACTTAGTAACTAAAACAGGTGTGTTTTTTTTCTTCACATGTCGCGCCGTATCTCAAAAACAATTTATGATTATTGCTTAAAACTTTTCACACTTCTTAGTTATATTAATCTTAAGATCTGTATACTTTTTGGTGATGATTCAAAATTTTATTTTAGAGATATTGAGTATTTTGTTAAAAAGGGGGAGGGGTTTTTCACATGTGGCACTGTATCTCAAAAACAGTTTATGATTATTGCTTAAAACTTTACACACTTCTTTGTTATATTAACCTTAAGATCTGTATACTTTTTGGTGATGATTCAAAATTTTATTTTTGAGTTATTGAGTATTTTGTAAAAAAAGGGGGAGGGGTTTTTCACATGTCGCGCCGTATCTCAAAAACGATTTATGATTATTGCTTAAAATTTTACACACTTCTTAGTTATATTAATCTAAAGATCTGTATACTTTTTGGTTTTGATTCAAAATTTTATTTTTGAGATATTGATTTTTTTCTTTTTAAAAGGGGGGTTTTCAAATGTCGCGCCGTATCTCAAAAACGATTTATGATTATTGCTTAAAATTTTACACACTTCTTAGTTATATTTATCTAAAGATCTGTATACATTTTGGTTTTGATATAATTTTATTTTAGAGATATTGAGTTTTTTGTTAAAAAAAAAGGGGGGTTTTCGCATGTCACGCCGTATGTCAGAAACTATTTATGCTAATTGCATAAAAATTCACACACAAGACGACGGGGGTTTCATGCGCTCATGGCGCAGCTGTTTATTAAACGGCTCCATCGTATGCTGTTTATATATCCCAACTCGTTCGGTATGCCCGTGTGTGAAGTGATGTCGGAGATTTTAACGAACGTAATCAATGCATCACTGGTAAATTATTAAGTCAGGGATTTCGTTACCATAAATAACTTGAAACTTTTACTAAATTCTTTCATAGATACAAAGATTTGATTAGTAAATTTGGCTGTACCTGTAGAAAACTTATTACAAATGGTATTTCACATCCTAAATTTTACGGTAATATTGTACTAAAAGCGTGGAAATCACTATATGATCCGTGTAATCTCATCCAACCTTTAAACAAACTTATTAGTAAGGGTTATATTACCAATGTTGTAATTAAATCTTTGAATATAGTTTACATTGGCACTAATATCGATTTTGTCATCAGCAAATTATATCATTACTAAATTGTATTCTTTTCAAACGGGATGTATAGAGACACATACACATTCATTTTGATCTATAAAGAGGTTAACTCCTAACTATCCTAATGCCTGTCGATACATTTATTTTTGGCATTGCACAAGTCATGTCTTCTTTGACTGTCCATGACGTTAAAATACTAAATCCATGGGATGTGTTTTAGTTGATTTTAATCTTTGATGCATGATTTTTTATTATTAATTGTTTTGGCTTTTAACTAGCTGTCAGTAACTGCTAGTACTCTCAAATCGTACTTTTTGTTAATTTGACCTGTTGATACTATTTGTAATGCTTTTTTGTTTTTTAATGTTAGCATGTATCTGGTCTATATACCAGCTTTGATTGTTTGGAATTACTATAAATTGTCACTTCTTCGTACTATGAACATCAAAAGTATTTCCTTTTTCCTTAAGTACTGTTCCGGACCTGTGCATGAAGAACACGAAGTTTTATCGAGCACCAATTGTATAGTTTTATTGTTTATATTCACCCCACATATACCAAGTTTCAGATTAGTTTTATTTACATACAAGAAATTTCTTGGTATTCTTAAAAGGAAGATTATAAAGACAGAAGTAGTATACTTAACAACAAAATTATTTTCATTTACCTGTGTATTATATGACGTAATTTTTTGCGTGAAGGGGGTTCACGCTTATGGTTACAAGGAAGTAATTATTTACATAGGCGACAATGGTAGCCTTTTTTGGTCCTGCGTTTTCCCTATCAAAGATCCATTGAAAAAAATGTCGAAATCTGAATTATCAACACCTTTGGGTGTAATTGAAACTGCAAAACACATATGGTGCCGCTGCTTTTTTGATAGAAAAATGGCATTTTTTAAGGGTACTCAACGGTTCCGGAATTTTCGAAATAGTATAAATGAAGAACACCCCTTGCTAAATTTGGCACAGAAAATGTTTCTCGTCACAGAGAGTTTTCTCTAAATTTCTCGCTATTTCGACACCAATGGCCAACACTCATTTCTCACTATTTCAATTTTGATTTCTAATTACTAGGGCAGCAGAAAATAAATTTACTTCTACCTATTATCTTGGATGTGAAATCTAGGTGGCGCCAATCATCTTTATTTACTTCCTTTTAACCTATAATACTGACATATATTGAAAAAAATTCGGACAATCTTTACATTAGTCGATTACTGTATACCCCTGCTGCTTGAGTTCTAATTTTTGGATTAAAGATACAATTGTTCACCATTTAAAATTATTATTATTATTATTACATAGCTTTTATATAGCGCCTATCTAATAAACATAATACTCTAAGCGCTTAACATATAAAACTGAAGGAAAATATTATCACAATGCATACAATAATAGCAAATATATATATATATATGAACATAAGAATGAAACAGAAATTAAATAGAATAATGATGTAAATTAAAAGCATTGAAAGGGGAATTATATATCACAATGAATACCATAAAAACATATTAGAATATAACAGACAACCAAAATTAACTAAAATAATGATGAAAATTATAAGTATTTAATATACACAAGTAAAACCTATAAAAATTTGCATTTAAGGATTAATTCACTTAGCTAAGAGAAAATATAAGGTAAAAATTTAACCAGTAAAACACAGAGAAAAAATAAATAAAACAGTCTCTTAAATAAAAACTTTAAAACTAAAAATTAAAAATTTAAATAAAATAAAAATAAAAAGGCCCTATCACTTAAACTGTTAGA